TGATCTCTTTTCCTAGATTGAGGTCCTAGATTCCACGGGCAAGTCCGAGTTGGACATTGATGTGGCCATTGGGTGGGTCCAGCGGGCTATTTGCCTTTTCTGCACTGCAATTACAGCCATATATTAGCTAGTTTGGCTATACTTGTTCCCGGTCCCGATGCTGACTGCATGCTGTTTGGGGACAGGTTATTAAAGGAGCTGGGCACCTATAGCAGGACATTCAGTCATCGATAGGGCTCCGGTGAATGCATAGCTGGTGGTTTTGCTTTTTTGTTTTTATTAAAGGGGTTTTTTTTTTTTTTTTTTGGTGGTGGGAGAAGCAGGAGCCGTCCACCTGGCCGTGGCTTCAGGGTCTAATTTGAAGCCAATCGGGGCTCCTTTTTTCCCGCACAGAGGATTCGGTGAGGTCAGGGCGCCTGTCTTTTATCCCGTCTTGAGGTAGACCCTGGAACATCAGTTTCCGTCGTGGTGCCACGTCGGGCAGACGCCCTTATGGTGAATACCCATTCCCTCCCCCCCTTCTCAGGTACAGGTGGGAGTGATGGGCAGATTTTTTTTACAATGCTTCGGTCCTCCTATGGTCCGAGGTTATCACCTTAGGAGGACAGAAGACTATGGTTTTTATCGTAGATTTCTGTGAGGTTCTGGCTTTGTGCCAGGTGAAATATTTAAAATATTATATGGATTCCACACGCTCCCTGCGTTCTCCTGAACTGCACCCATTGCTCGTTTCTTTCCAGGTTCATCCTCTACCAATGTCAACTCCTAAGTTGGCGCATTGGATTTGTTGACTGTTGTCAATACATCAGATTTTACTTCCCTGTCGGTGCGTGGAGCCATGGCACCTAAGGCTTCTGCTGTTGGTTGTCATCTGGGGGATATTCTACAGGCAGCAGATTGGTCATGGGAATCTACTTTCTGTGGCTTCTGCTTCCGATTTCCCATTTTACTTGCATAATAGGAGCCTCCGTGTCTTTAATAAAATGCCCAGATTTTACTATGAACATTAGGTAGTCATGATTTTATTAAAGACACAGTCAAGTATTTTTCCCACCCTCCCTTGTTCGAGGGTCCTTGGGTGCAGCTTAGTCTTGGTAGGTACTGTAAATGTTCAGTTTTTTTGGGGGTGAGTACTGTTTGTGCGCTTATGGTTTGGTCATGGTTTTTTGTGGCTTAGTTATGATACGTATTCCTGATGATCTGTTTATATATTTAACAGCACTGACAGATCTTGAAATTCAAGTTTGGATTTTGGATATTACCACATTTATAAAAGCCATTTGGTTTGGGGAAGGGTCCCGGTGTCCTATTGTTAAGAGAAGGTAAAAGACTTGGGGCTAAAAATTATTTAAAACTCTTAGCTTTACTATAGATATTCTTAGGTTTTCATGGAATCGCCTATTTTAATACATTATCTTGTAAAATAACCGGCCAACATTTCTGTAAGGCCTTTCAAATCCATTTGGCTTTGCGATTGAACTGTTTTAAAATCTAGGTTAAAATCATATTGTATTAATTCAAGGCTCGACAAATCCGAGGTCGCCATGGCGATTAGAAATTTTGCCCTGGCGCCTGGGATTGTAAGCCCTTTAACTAAAGGCAGGATGAGGGAACAATAAAGCCAGCTGCCCTGTGGATCAAGGAGGCGGCAGGCTGGGGCAGCGCTCAAAGGAACAGTGATCTTCCTGCAGCTCCTGTCTGCTCATTTGCGCTGTGTAAATGATGCCGGGTGCCGGAATATGGCATCATGTGCACAGTGTTTGTGTATGTATCGGTCAGTGTGTGTGTGTGTTTAGGTGTCAGTATATTTTCTAGGTCTGTTGTGTAATACGTATCTGGTTTCACAATGGAATTCAATATACATATCAAAGGAGGTTGTCATTAAAGGGTACCAATGTGTGTACATCTTTACTATAAGGGTTTCAAGGGTCATGTTTTCAGATCAGAAGATCAGAGTGATTAACATCTAGGTGTAACCACAAAGTTTGTGTTTTCCCAAGCCATCCTGTCCAATTTGCCCAGAAACCAACCCTTACTGGTCACGTCTTAAACAATGTTACAGTATAGCTGGAGGGAAGAGGTCAAAGGGAAAGACTTGTGTAAAGACAGAACTCTCTAGAAAATGGGGGCTGGATAAACCACTTTTGGGAGGGAAAAGGGATTCTGGGATATGTAGTTAAGGACTGCAAAAATCAGTCTTTAAAAGAACGGCCAAGGAGGTTGGGCTCCTCTTTCTTTTTGTCTCTTTTGGGGAGGACAGCGCAGCAAGCAGTGGTGCCATGGTGAACTGAGAGAGACTGACCCAGACTACCAAAGATCAAGGTGCAAGGGGAAGATCTTCATTTAAATGTTTAAGTATTGCTATTTACTATGTATCTTTTGGTTATGGACTGGATGTGGTTGTGTATTGTGTGTATCCTAAATCAATATTAACAATACATTTTATTACACACTTGTGTTTTGTGTCTTATTTGTCACACATTCCCTAACAGAATATCCTTGTAAGAGGGTCATAATTTCTTACATAAGTACCTGCACCCCTCTGATCATGAGGTGGTTTTACTCGCCTTCTTTCCCTCGCTGTGCCAGTTTTCTGCAGCTTGTCCTGCCTTCTTTGCTGAGATAATCAATCTTTAAGATCTCAGCTAAATCAGTGCTTTCCAATAGGAAAGCATTGGGAAGATATTGGGCGTGTTCTCTATGGGTAACATTCAGCACGGCCATGCAGAGCATGGAGACGCAAAACAAAGGTGCTGCATACCGTGCAGCACTTACACAGGACTCTCTAGTGGCTGTCTGAGTGACCGTCACTAGAGGTTTTACTAGACAGCCATGTAAACACTGCCTTTTCTCTTAAAAGGCAGCATTTAAATTGAAACGGCTACAGGGACAGGCTGTAGGCACCAGAACAACTACATTAAACTGTAGTGGTTCTGGTGACTATAGTGTCGCTATAAGAATTGTGTATTTCTCGTAAATTAAACTTCACTAGTTTAAAAAAAAAAAACTGTCTCCTAGGTTCCAAACAAATGTTTCCAGCCCTCTATTAATTACTTTTTTATTTTCCCTTATAGCAGGATGCTTCCACCTCTTGTCTTATTGTATTCCTCGTTTCCGTCAGACGGGCTTTCGGCAAATTACTTTCTATAGATCTATTTTCTAAAAAGTCGGTTTGTGTCTGTCATTTTCATCCGTACAGTTCCTACTTATCCACATTGTCCCTTTGGAATGTTCGTAAGCCACTGGCGATGATGACCGCTGTTAAAATCAATATAGCTGTTCTTTTCAGTGGATTTAAAAAAGGTTTTGTTATAAATATGATTATCCCAAACATAGAATATAATATCCAAAAAACTAATACTGACATTAGGCATTTCTGGCGCAAATTTCAGGCCCTGATCATTAGTATTACTCAAATTCATAAAATCCAAGAGATCATGATGTGCACCATCCCAAGTAGTGATCACATCGTCAATGTATCTCTTTCATAGCACCAGGTTTGACGTCCAGCAATGCCTTACCCAAATCTGGGTTTCCTCCCACATAGCCATACAGAGATTGGCCTAACTGGGTGTAAACCTGGTGCCCATGGCTGTGCCACAAACCTGTAGATAAAATCTATTTTCAAATAAATAGTTGTGGGTTAAAAAAGATTGGATACATTCAAGGATAGAGGCCATAAGCTTTCCTAAAAATATGGGTTTTAAGGCACTTCTTAAACATGATACATCCACCATTGCCCACATATACATATCTTTCCATTGGATCCCTTTCATAATATTTAGCATATGTCCAGTGTCTCTGATATAAGATTTATTTTTGGAGATAGTGTTTCACGTATTGGGATAAATTGGCATTTAAGCTGCCAATACCACTAACAATTGGTCTACACGGAGGTTAATCTAGAGACTTATGGACCTTTGTTAAATAATAAAATATGTCCAATTTGAGATGTGCATCAAACAAAAAATTAAATTCCTCTTTATTTAAAATATTTTTTTCCTTGACTGAGTAATTTCAAGAGTTGCTCAACAATAGATTTAGTGGGATCTATGGATAATATGCAGTAGGTGGTACTGTCACCAAAGATTCTCAAAGCCTCCGTGATTTAATCCTCACGGTCAAGGACCACTACGGCCCCTCCCTTTCGGCTTCCTTATAGACAATATCTCGTCTACTACATAAACCTTTAAAAGCTATTCTTTCGTTTGAACTTAAATTATTAAAACACTTCTTAGATTCTATGGCCTCAAATTATTTTAAAATCATACTATTAAAAACTTGTAAATATTCACCTCTGTCTTGTACTGGATAAAACTTGTATGTATAAAAGAGTCTGATTCTCCTAATTCCCCAGTGGGTGGTTGTCTCTTTAAAAAAAAAAAATTAAAAAAAATATATATATATGTATGTATGTATATATATATATTTGTCTGTGTCTATAAATGTATATATTTTTTTCTTTCAGAGTATAGCGAATTTATTAAACAATGTATATACAATCTTGCATGTATTCTTAAAATTGTCCACATAAGCACAAGCAACGCGTTTCGACCAGAGTCTTCATTAAGGTGCATAACCATAGGTTACGGGTTTTGACCTCAAGATCAGGATATACAATCCTCTCACATAGTAACTGAGTCACTCTGTCCCCTTTTTTCACTATAAAAGGTTCTTTACCAAAGTTAAATAATACAACCCCAACATTTCCTCTGTAGTCCTCATCCACCACACCAGCTCCAACATCAATGAAATACTTAGCAGCCAAACCTGATCGGAAACTACTCTTCCATAACAACCAGTGGTAACACATATTTGGATATCAGTTTTCACCACAGCTTTGTCCATGGCAGGTATTAAATAATCATATGCACTGTACAGGTAATAGCAGACTGCTCTGGCTGAGCCCCTTGTGTGGGTGAAGGCATGGTCTGACAGCTTGGTGAAGCGCAGTTTTGGGGCTCCTCTCTGTCCTAGGGCAGAGTCGTCCTCTTTGGGGCATTTGACAGGAGAGACAGAGAGAGTGGTGACTGGCACGTGGGAGATTAAAAACACTGTTCCGTAAATATTTTTGTGCATCAGGACTGTTGCAGGGAGCACATTTTAGTCCCTTAGATAAGTTTTTTAATTCCTATGCAATAAATTGTAATTTGGATAAATTAATAATGTCCTTAGAAATGACTACTCGCTCCTTAGGTTTTGTGGACACATCGGTCCCATCTCCTCTAACTCATGTTGGTCCGCCATCCGTCTCCTGTTCCTGGGGGACCGGAGTGGCCAATAACAATTGGCATGTGGTGCCGGTCTCCTTGTATCCCCCAAGTAGTGGAGAGATGGACGAGAGTCCGGGGGGCTTCTGTCTAAAAATAAATTAGTTACTTGTACTAGATACGTCTGTGGCGAAACCAACCTCGCCACTGTACACTGGAGAAGCCTGGTTGTTCGCCTGCTCCCTTTAGACTATGGCCCTGCAGTTCAGCCCTGTTATTTCTACTACTGAAAGGTTTATTTGTGCCTTTCTGCCGGGGTGTTCGGTAGATTCAATCTACCGAACAAACTACCGAACGATGGACCACCTGGGAGCTGGAGTGTGCCGTCAATTGACCGCCCAGAAGCTGCGGTTAACCGCAGCTTAATTGATGAACGCTGGATGGCCTTTGTTCGTCTGCCGAACACGTGGCAGTGACCATTCTACCTCCCAAACGGCCAGCGGTGTTCAGCGCCCAAGCTATGGAACTGAAAATGGACACTTATTGGCGCGAACACCACTGAGCCGCCAGCCTCCTTACCTTCCCATTCGGTAGCAGAACCGAATGACTGTTCATTCGGTAGTTTAACCGGATGAACAGCATCACCCAGATAGCTAAGCCATGGAGCCTATTCGTGTAACGAAAGACTATGGGAAAGACTTTGGCTCCATGGCGATTGAACTGTATGTATGTGATCTGAGCGCCATTCGGTAGTAATGTGCACTCAGATCTAAGCTATATGGGGATATGTAGAATGTATATGTTTTAGGTAATGTAACTGTATGTAATTTTAGGTATTTTACTGTATTTTTACTGCCATGCGGTTAATGGAGTTTTGCCTCTGTCTTTGGAGATAATTGGATTGCTTCCCAGTTATCTCCAGGACAGAGAGGAGGGATTGTGATGCATTGTGGGAGTGTGTAAAGGTGTATGTATGTGGCTAAGAGCCAATATGTTTCCCAGTTTCCCATCTGGTCCCCTAGGGGAGTGTCCACCAGGTGGGAGACCTGCATAAAAGCCGGGCAGTTAGCCCCAGTAAGTCAGTTCTGCTTGACCCTCAAAACAAAGTGTTGTCTCGTCTTTGGGGGGAATTTACTGTATGCTGTTAGACTGATTGCCAGGAGTGTAAGCCACTTTGGTGCTTTTCCTGTTTGTCTGCTAACAGCTATTCGTGTGTCTCCAGTTTGGGAGTTTGGAGTGCTACTTGGTATGCAGTTCGGGAGTTTCGAGTATTCCCTTGGTTGCAGTTCGGGAGTTGGTGAATTCGTGGGTTTGCAGTTCGGGAGATTGGTGCTTGCAGTTGCTGTCTGTACATCTGAAAAAGGGGAATATCGCCTAAACGGTTTTTAACCTTTTGTGTGCAAAACGGTCCTTTACAACATCAAAGTGGGTGTTCTTAGGGTAGGCTCTGTTGTTCCTCTCCCTATTGTGTCTAAATATAGGCGTCTTTGGAGTTGTCAATTCCCTTGGGGATTTGGGACCAATAAAATTAGGTCTTTTAGCCTTCTTATGATTCCATGACCTCCTAAAATCTCCTTTTCTGTTTGGATTTCGTGCATTAAATTTATTGTTTTTACTATTACAGTACCAATTCCGATTCCTAAAAGTTCTACGGTAAAAGATACCCTGCTTTTCTTGCTCTTTCATAATCTTGAAATCTTCTTTGTCTTTATTAAGTTTGTGGTTTTTAGTTTCTATCAATTTATTTTCCTATATTTAAATTTTTAAATTTGTTTCCTCCTCACATGATTTAATTTGATTTTGTTGAAAATCAATAAGTAACCCCATCAATTCTTTTGAACATTTCTCTAAAACATTATTCCATTTCTGCATAAAATCATAACAATCTAAACCACTGTTCCAAATATACAACCTTCCACCATCTTTTAACTTCTTTAATGGAGATTCTCTCTAATTTTAAGAAAATATTGTCTGGAGCAATGGGTTTATTGGTGTAATCCATGATTATCATCATGTTTTGGAGAACTGTCCTCTAATCTCTTATACCTGGCTTCCCTCAATGCCCCTGTCATTAATCTACAATAAGCCATTTGAATAAGTGGTGTAGGAGTAAAAAAAACCTGAGGTAACCGATACAATAATCAATAGTAGAAAAATTCCTAAAATTGATATGATATAAAATCAAGGTATAACGCTATAACAGAGTTAAAAAGCGTGCAAAGAAATATAAACAATAGCATTCACCCTGAACACCAAGACCCCGGTAAACTCTGAAAACTGATACACCACTTCTTTCTTGGTTTTTTTTTTGTTTGTTTTTTTTTTATATGTATGTGTATACCTATTGGCTTGCCATCTGGTGTTCCAAGATTCATAAATACATGTCACATGTGAAGGATCAATGCTTCCTTTTCTTTAATCGTTTTTTTTTTTGTTTTTTTTTAAATGTATCACGGTTTTCAGAGTTTACCGGAATGTTGGTTTTCAGGGTGAACACTATTGCTGTTTATTTTTTTTATAAAAAAACTGTTTACTTTACATTTGGTAAGACTGCTCCCAACTGCTCTGCGCACATATTTTTCTCTCATTGTTATGTGAATGGGAAGCTAGTGATCAGCTGAGAGTGTCAGCTGATGCACTCAGTGGCACAGAGTTTTCTGTTTCTCAGAGGCTTCCTCATTACTTTGGAGTTCAACTATTCATTTAACCCCTTAAGGTAAATCCTCACCTGGCACAATGCTTAATGAAGTCAAAATTGTTATGGTGCCCTATGTGTTCCTTTAAAAGGGAGCACTTTCAAGCACCATAACCAGTGGAAGACCTAGGGCACCATAAACAGTGGCAGACATTCCCCCCAAGCCCTCTTTAAGAAACCATGGGAATTTGTCTGTTCAGCAGACAAACTGATTTGTCAAGCAAGAAGCAAGGTATCCATGTAATATAAACAAAAAATAAAGGACAAAATTGCGCTTATTTCAGTATGCAATCTGGTGCAGCTAAAAATTACCAAAGTGTAATGTCACAATTTACATTTTACAAATGTGAGCGAGTAAAAGAACAGAAAAGGTGATTTGGTTTTCATTACTTATTTCTTTGGTAACAAACGCATAGATAATTCTTTTAAACCTATATTAAAATGAATTTTAAAAAAACACACATAGTGTAAACTGTATATGTGAGATTGTATATACGTAAGAATATCTCTTCAAACTCTAAATTTTCAGAGCCCATTTAAAGTTGGCTCGGTACTTATGGTGCTTTTCATCTCATCAATGATCCATCCATGTAATAGTCATTGCACACGTGTCATGCGTAAATATGAGTAAGTACCTGTCACTGTATGCATATGTGGATGTGTTTATCCACCGTTAAGAATCTGTCAGAAAACAGTCCGTGAGTCTAGGTACTAGATCTGCCCCTGACCTTAACATATGCTTCTTACACAAGTTATATTCATAATAGAGCTGTGGAACTACACTCAAACCCAAGCAATATATAGCTGGGTGCAACCAAGCCAGTCCCAGTACCAGGGGCCAAATACTTGATAAAGAAAAATAGAAAAAAGGTCCAGGCACTCCAGGATACAAAACTGCAAATTTATTGAACCCACTTCCACTCACAAAGTTTCAACCTACACGGTCTTTGTTAAGCTGATGACCGTGTATGTCGAAACGTTGTGAGTGGCAGTGGGTTCAATAAATTTGCCGTTTTGTATCCTGGAGTGCCTGGACTTCTATTATTCTTACAAAAGTTATGGCACAAGGAAGCCTTCTACCCCATGTATAAGCCTATTACATACATTGGTGCGTATTTCCATAATTAAGAATATGCAACTCTTCCATCTGTATCCATGTAGATCTCCTGCTCTTAGAAAATAAATTGTACAAAATGTGAACAAAATTGTAGCCTATTGGGAGGGGGGGGGGGACCTCTCCTCACGTTCCTCATTTTAAAATGTATATAACAATACAAATAAAGAACAAGAAAGGAAAAAATAGAGGTGGACAAAGTCCACATCAATAATTCCAAAGGAGGGGTTACAGAGATATCAAGGGGCATAACCCCACAAAATAATTTAAGAAAAGATAAGACTAAAGTGAAGTGGTTGTTCCACTACAGATGGAAAAATTTGGACATCCACTTCACCAAATGATATCTCTAGATTATTACAATAATTATTAGGTATAACCTTTATTAAGCCGTCTTAGGCAAAACAATAAATAATGATAGTGTAATAATAGTGAAACACTCGTGAAAAAACACGTGAAATAAAAAATGGGTAGATGTAATGTGGATATCCTCAGAATATACTGGAGTGATTCGGATATCTTCACTGAAAACTCTAATAACCAGTACAATATAGTACAATATATGTTCAGTCACATATCACAGAATCATTCCCCAAAAGAAAAGGAGAATCCCCATAGTCTACGGGGATCTAAAAATCCCAACTATATAGAGGTAAATCCACGAAAATTCCCATAGGCTCTAGTATATTTTCAAAGCATACACTTTCGGTTTAAATAGATAGTATCCATATATAGTTAATCTATCATAAAGATTTGTCCAAAATGTTGCAAATAGAAAAGGAGTCTAGGGAAAAGCTGAGAGACACTATGTGTATAAAGTGTTACTTAGTATTTAATACTTAGAGTATAGATAATTATTGCTAAGTAGAGGAGCCACAGTAGGCAAGTAAAAGCTT